TTCTTTGTGTTATTTTCCCCAATGGAAGTATCCTTCACCTTTTTCCTTCCCCATGGAAATCTCCCTAGTCTTTAATATCAGAGTTAAGGCCATGTCCATGATACATTCTCTTCCTCTGGTTTCCCTAAATTATTTTCTGAACCAATCTGTTTTTACAGCTTATCATACTTTGTCTATTACTCTTCAGGAAATTATTTCTTAAGAACACAATACTAGACTTCCAATAAATGGTGAATTAAGCCCAAACGTCCAGTGGTCTAATGTTTTATAGTAATGTGGCATAAAATGTAACAAAAAAGAGCTAATGTTATGATTTTAGTGATTTAATTGGAAATAAATGATACTACTGCCAATTGCTAAAGAGTTTGCTTCTTTATTAATCTGGCCATAAAATTAGGTCATCAAGACCCTCTCCTTGAAAAGACTTTGCTGAGATTTTTTTTTTCTGAATATACCTAGATGTAATAAAACTGCATTTTTAAGTACGATATTTAATTCAGTCATTTTGCTAATTAAGACTAGACTTCTCCCCAATCAGAATAAAATCAGAGTCATCTAATTTTTTGAGCTCAAAGAGACCTTAGAGATTATTTCCAGAATCAGAGAGTAACTTGCCCAAGGCCACATAGATGCTTAGTCAAAAATGATTTTTTAAATTCTATAAGTCATTCCCATTGATACCACTATTTAGGGAACACAGTGTAAGGTAAAGGACCTGAATTCAGAAACAGAAGCCCATGCTCCTAAGACAAGCCCAGTTTTACTCACTTGAAGCTTCTTTCCTGAGCTCTAGCAGAAACAATAGCATATGACCTCATAAGGTTATTAGTAATAGGTAGGAACAGGTGAGAAGTAATATATAATCATGAAGATTGTAAATGGTCAACTTTGTGTTTCTCTCCTAAACTGCAGTGGTTGTTTACATATACACATATGTGCCAGAGAACCACACTCAATGAAGCCCTAAGGATTCTGCCCTTGAACCTTTCATCAATGCATTCACTCTTTCCAGTGCCACAACCTTAATGCAAACTACTAAGATCTCTATTCTTACCAAATCAAAGCCTCTGACCTGGCTTCTCGTCACCACTTTTCCTTTTCCTATACTGCAGCCAGCATCCTCTTTCAAAAACTCACACCTTCTGTGACACTTCTTTAAAACTCTTCAAAACTTTCTCTTACAATTTTGCCCCGTAACACTAAATAGTACCTATTTGCAAAACTTCTCAAGGCCCTGCAGCCTTAGGCTTAGTTCACCCATAACGTTACCTTGTCATTTTCCTCTTTGGTCTGTGCACCTCCTTCTGAAAAATGCTAGTCTCCTTTGGACCTCAAACATTGGCAATACTCCTCTTTGCTGGAAAAGCTCTCTCCCCACATATCTAACTCATAGTCATCATTCAAATCCAATTACATGTGAATTTCTCAAGAAAAGCCATTCCTAGCTTTCAAGACCAAGCTAAGTCTCCCTAAAATACATCCTCATGATACCCTAAATTCTCCTTCATTATGTATTTATTACAATGGTAATTAATTTATCTTTTAAGTGCCTGTCTCCTTTGCTATAAGGTTTATAAGAATGTTTACATAGGCTTACTAAAGATTAATGGAAGAAAGGAAGGTAGGGGGGATAAAGGAAAGGAGGAATTTAGTTGTTTGTTGCATATCCACCCACATTCTGATTATACTATACCTTGTATATATCCCAATTAGCTGACATGACTATTCTTCATGCTGCACACATGATACACATGATACAAACAAAAATAACTTTAAACCCACAGCATGCCCACTCTTCTCCTTTCTCCTCAGCTCAAACCACATTATTGCCTAATGGGAAAGATAGGAAATTAAAATTTCAGTAACAAAACCATAGTAGTTACTAGGAGCAGTTTCAAGCTTGCATCTGATATGCCAGCAGTAGGTTGGGTCAGGTCAGTGGGATTAGTCTTATCTCTGATACATGAGACAAAAATCAGTTTCTCCCCATTGCTATTCAGACAGAGGTCCCCAGTGGAAAGCAGACCCTGATCGCAGGCTGCCTGGACCAGACTGACCCAATCAGAATCCCCCTGAGAATTTGTTAGGAGGACCAGTGAATCTGGTTTTCCTCCCAGCATCTTGCTGCTCCTGTCCTCAAGAGACAGAGGCATGTATCTCCTCTCTGGGGAGTTAAGATACAGCTTCTGGGGCTGGAGATTTGAAGGAAGAGATGATGAGGGTGGGGTTAGGGGATGGGAGTAAGCCTCTCTTCCCGCCCACCCCAGGGAGTACACAATTGCCTTCTCAAGGAGAAAAAAGAAGGCAGGTTCCCGGAAACAGAGTTTGAAAGACATTTATATAAATTCTGGCTTCCTCATAAAACACTTAGCATTCACTCAATTTAAAAACAAAATTGTATCATTGGTTTAAATGCACCTAATTCTGCACTTAAGGCTATAAAAACCACCCTATAAATGACACCTATAGAGAATCCCTTTATATCACTGTTATTTTAATGGAAGACAAACATTAATTATGTACGTCAACAATACCAGAATACTTCCTTACATAACTTCATTTTTCTTCTTCCCCCGACTTTCTCCATAGTGAATAAGATAGGAGGAACATAAAAGAAGAGAAGGGATGGAGGTTATTTGAGCAGCAGAGTTCTGGTCTGCTGACACCCTCAGCAAGATTCATTAATCTTGGAGATTCTCACTCTCATTTACTAAACAACAGTGATTCACACAGAGTTACACAGCCACAGTAGCAAAGTTAATTGGAATCTAGATCCCCTAACATTTCTTCCCTCCTTCAGCAATTCCTTAGTACTGCAAGCTAAAATATTAAGTGAGGCTGTTGTAGGCTTGGGGAAAAGGAAACAAAAGGTGGCTAGCATGCATGGAAGTAAAAATGGACACATCTTCTCTTTACATTTTAGTTTTGCTCTGCTTTGTTTCCTGGCTTAAGCCCTCTGAGCAAAAGGTTGTGCAGCCCCATATCAATACTGGTATCTCCCCTTCGCAGTAGATTAGCACTGGGAGCTCAATATGGCTCTCACCCAAGTCCAGAGAAATAAAGGATGGAGGCCGGCAGAGAGATAGCTATGAACACTGGCAAATTCTATTCAGTCAGTGGCAAGCAGCCAGATAATCCCTTTTAATTTAACTCTTTATCTTCTCTGGGAGAAACAAACATTGCATCTGCTTGAAGCATCATAACTTTCAAAGCATGCAAATGACAGCAGACAGGCACCATTATCCTAATCCAATAAATGAGAAAACTGACTTAGAGATTATGGTAAACGTTTCATCAGGAAATTATTAATAGATTTTAAATCAGTACCTACAGTTTATTATGTATATCGCAAGTGTTCCCACTTGACCCCCTTCCCTACTTAGTGTCCAGACTAGCTCTACTTATGTTGGCAGCACTTATGTTTTTAAATAGCAAAGAATGATACAGAACACAAGTAAATTTTGGTTGGCAGAGGGGCAATGGTATGCAGGAGATGATCATGCAATGAAAATTATTTCAAATAATTCTGCTGTATCAGGCAGTGCAGAAAGGACTATAGTGAAGACAATATCCTATGTCCAGTTCAGCCGCTCAGTCATGTTCAACTCTTTGCGACACCATGAATCACAGCACGCCAGGCCTCCCTGTCCATCACCAGCTCCCAGAGTTGACTCAAACTCATGCCCATCGAGTCGGTGATGCCATCCAGCCTACACATGTCCTATGTAGGAAAACACAAAATCTTCACAGTACAAATACAGTTATGTGCTAGAAGACAGGGTTAGTTTCAGGATCTGACCACAATTGTGGAAAATAATTTACAATCTTCTGGGGTTGGCCTGTAGACAGTTATCAACTGGAATGAGAAATCCTAAAGGACTTCTGGTCAATTGCTTTACTTCTAGACTGCACTATGCCTCTCTAGATTGAGCAGCTACTTATAAACAACTCCCACAAAAAGATAGGATATACATTTTCAGCAATCATCATAGTAATTTGAACGGGGTGAGGGATGGGGGAGTGGGTGATGGGATTGCATCACAATACAAACTGAAAGCCTGTGAAGAGGTCTGTTCAACCACCTATGAAATCCAGAGAAGAGGAATGACCTCAGAGGGTGAAGGCTAGGTTCCTCAGAATGCTCCTGTTAGTGTTGTTTTAAATACATGATGTCAGACACTTCCCTGGAATTCAAGTGTATTAGAAAAAAGGAATGGCTTCTCCCCTATCTCCAGCAAAGGGACCTCACTGTAGTCCATGCTCACTGAAACTGCACTTACAGATGGCGGCCGCGAGGAAGAGCAGGGCAACATTCCTACTTTGTAGAAAACCAGAATTTATGGATAGTGCCTTAACTCTTCTTAGGTTACTTGGGTAAAATTATAAACTTTATATTTTCACTTTTTAATTACTTACTACCACCTAATACTAACATAACATGTAACTTGGACTCAACAAAAAAAGTCATCTCCTGAAGGGTTCTGTTTTCTTGTCAGAGGGAGGGATCAAATCCCACTGGAGAGGTTTCACTCCACATCTGCACTGAACTGTTGGCTGGGGAGGAGTGGCACGGGTCCCTGTGAGCAATCTAGGCTCTTCAAAGATGTTCTCTAGAAGGGGTCTCCCAACAGTGGGCCCGAGCAATCAGGTCCTCACTGAGCAGCTGGTACAGGGCTCCCCTCAAGGGCTGGAATGCTACCTCTGATGCAGAGTAACAACACTCTTCTCATCTCTTGGCCACTGAGCAGCCCAAATCTGCTGCAGGCAGAGGCCAAGGCGACCTTCATGCCCAAATGAGCCAGAAATGGAGGCGGGGTGGGCCACGTGGGGTTCATCTCTTCTGCAGTCCCCAAAGGACACACAACTCCTGCCATCCCAGATGCCAAAGGGAGCAAACAGAGCCAACCTCAGTGGAAAGCAGCGGCTGCTCTCTGGCTCTGGAGCACGAGAGTGGAGGGAGAGACGGCAGATGACAAGGCGACCCAGCCAGAGCTGAGCCAATGGCACCAGAGCCTCAGACCACCCGGCACACAATGGAGAGGTCTGAGCAGCTTCTGTCATTGTTTGCTTGCTAGCTTCCCTTTACCTTTAACACATTCAATTGGATTCTTTTTTCTTTGCTTGCTCAGGTTACAAGTAAACACGAAAACAGTGAAATGATGAACTGGGTATTTCTGAGAACCGTATACCTTTATCAACAGAGTTGTTATTATATAAAATACATTTATCAGATATATCAAGGATAAAACCCAGTTGGGACTTTAATTATATAACCTTGTCACCATTTCTTCATTGCTTAAGAGTTAAAAGTTGTTCGTATCACTATCACAGAAATGTGGTATGAATGAAAATAATCAACTATGGAAAAGTACTCTAGGATATTTGAAGAAAAAGCCTAAGATAAACTATAGGTTTGTTTTTTTTAATCCTGTGTAAATATATCTTGACTAACATATATTGTATCATCTATTTCAAACAATGTTCATGATTCTTACATCAAATAGAAAGATTACTGAGAACATGAGAACACACCAGTGTATGTCTGACTTGCCCATGACCACAAAGTCATGACTTAGACTGCACCAATTCTGTCTCACAAGGCCTACCCAAGTTAATAAAAAAAAAAAAATCCATCCATACAGCCCTGAATACTTGCATTAAACATTTTTAATAGTCTAATTTAAAAAATGGACACCAACATCTGGAGACCTATGAACAAATCTATGAACAACAACTGTGCTGCAGGAGGGAGAGAATAGTCAATGGGGCTGATTCAGAAAGGCCATAACATGGACTATTGCGTTAATGTGTGTGTGTGTATACAGGTGAGTGGAACATGTTGCAAGGCAGCCAGTCCCAGACTTGCCATAACCATGGCAGAAGGAAAGAGCATGTGGCAACTGCTTGTAGATGACCCCCATGTCTCCTAACTGCCTCTGACCATACTGCCGTCTCCTTCTACCCCATTTCTCAAAGTCACTATAGCTTGCTCTGTGCCAATTATCAGGGGACCCCAAAGCTAAACAACTGGGACTAATTCCCATGATTTCACTGAACTGGACTGAGCAAACCCTTGAAAATCTTCTTTGGAAAGAACAATATTCACTAGGAAGAAAGAACTAGATACTTTGCCTAGATAATACCAGATACTGTATTTCAAAGAGTTGCCATGATAGTTAACTTTGGTATTTCTTAAGAAGATTGCAGGGCTTTTTTTTTTCTCCTTAAGTGGAAGATTTTCTGAAATATAATTATCTGGCTTGGTTCTCCATTAGACACTCCTAGGCCCTTAGAAATGCCCTGAAACATCAGCACTCTGATCTGCCCTTCACTCGACTGACCTCAAGACTGAGTAATGAATATTCTACAGTTTTATTCAAACTTAAGAGAAGTCTGTATTAGTGACTTCATTCTTAGCATTTTATCTGAAGAGCTAAGTTCCTAGAGTTAAATGGAATAGGAAGGAAAGGGATTAACCTCTGCTGCTGGCATAGTACAGTCACGAAGCTAATGTCTCTACATGAAAAAGCTGAATTGCAGCAGTATCTGAAATTACAGAGAAAGTACTGAGAGCTCTAGAGGAAAAAAAAATGCAAAGGAATAAAATATTAAAAGCCAAAGCTGGTTTGGGATTCTATTTTTCATGCAGGCATGTTTAGTAGAGGAATTATGTATTATAGGACCTCACAATTTAGATGGTAGAGGAATGGGTCAGTGAGTTCTAAGATGAGGAAGTTTTTAGGACCTGTAACTTGTAATTGTGTTGTGGGTGAGTTCCAGCTGCTCCCCTAAGCTTATTTCAAAAATGTACTTCAACACAGTATTTATTCACTTGAAATGCTTCAATTAGTGGACAGCCAGGGAGTCTCTTCTCTTTTCATTTGGCAAGAGTGTTCTATAGTGACACAAAATATCCCCCAGCAATGAAAAATGAAACCCACAAATGTAACACTGGCAACCAGCTGTCAAAAGAAAATCAGGAGTAGGATTGCCAGTCTGGTAATTTCACGTCAATGTGTTCATGGGAGAGACTGTGCATGTATGAGAGTGTGAGTGTGTGTGCACATGTGTGTGTGTAAATGAATAGACTTGAGTGTGCAGCAGTATGAGAAACGCAAGCGGGTGCAGGTCCTAATGATGGCAGAATGCCCCAAACATGAAGCTGTAGTAGAACCGTCAGTGGTAGAGCAATATAACACAGACTCTCTGTGGTTAATGGTGCAAGGCTTCTCTCATGGGTGGCATAGTGTGAGACAGGTAAATTAAAAATATATTTTTATGTTAAAATTACTTCGTGTTCAACATGGGATGGCAGCTTGTAAACGAAATGCACTGTGTGTTTTCATTTTTAACCTTCATGAATTCATTTCACAGCCTCCCAAAACGAAGACCGAAAAATCTCTTCAAAGTAAACAGCCAACACTATCTATTTAGTCCTCCAACCAAGCAATGTATTGACCATTTCGAGTCAGTACAGCTATTAACCCATGAATTCATTCTCTTTCTCGCCACCACCCCCCCCATCCCAATCCCCTTCTCTCCACTCTATTCCCTCCCCCACGGTGAAGTCGAATCTGTAGGGGTTATTTTGCACGGAGGTGCAAGTACTCGGTGCCGAATGCATACCCAGCCTCCTCCTAAACTTAATGCCAATTCCCTCCTGAAAAGAGGAGGAATGCAGTGGTATCAGCACCGGGGACGCGGGGACAGCGAACACCGCGGTGGCGCTTGAAGAGTTTACAGAGGAGCAACCCCAGCTCCGCCGCCGCCACCACTCGCAGCAGCCCCCACCCCCGCCAACACACACACACACACACACACACAAGCGCATGCACACACGCACACACACACCGGTTCCAAATCTCCCCATCAGCAAGGCTAATGCAGCAAGTCTGTCCACACACTCCTGCACGAGGGCAGGGAGCGCACCGCAGGACTTGTAAATAAACCTCGTTCCGTCCACATTCCAAGCGCTCCTCATTCCACTGACCCCCTACCCACCCCCGAGCCCGGCGGCGTGGAGGAGGGGGTGCGAGGGGCCGGGGACACCCCCCTCCTTACCTTGCAGCGAGAAGAGGGACAGGAAGAAGCCCAGCACCCAGACGCTGTGCAGCCAGTAGGTCCTCATGTCTCCGCCGCGCTCCAAGCGATGCTCCCCGCGCGCTCCGGCTCTGCCTCTTCGCTCGCGCTCCAGAAATACCGCGCCGCTCCTTCCCTCTGTTTCCCCCGGGGTTCTCCCGGCTCTGGCAACCCGAACAGAGCAGGCTCCTGCCGCACGACGGCCGGACCCAGAATGGCTTCGCTCTCCTCCGCAAGAGCGCAAGAGCGCAAGCCCGCAAGCCCGCGGCCGGACGGACGCTCGGAGCTGTGTGTAGTGTAAACACAGCGAGCACCCTTCTCCCTCACGCGCTCCGCTCTCCTCCTCCTTACCCTCCTCTCCCTCACTCCCCTGCAGCTCCAACTAAATGCGACTGTACTTAAACAAGCAGCGTCTTATAGGACCGCGAACCGAGCCGAAAGGGCCCCGCTGCCGCCATCTAGCGCGCACATCCGGGCATCGCCGCAGCTCCGCGTCAGCTCGCTGTGAGCGCGAGGTCCATCCAGGCAGCCAGAGCCCCTTAGCTTTAGGTTCACAGGTGAAAGTCCTGCAGTCCTGGGTCCTTGATTTGACCTTGTTATCCCATAGGTCCTGAGTATCTCTTTTTCACGAGGAGACTCTTGGCACTTACAGCCTACATTTCTTCACTATCCAGTTGCTCCTTCTCCATCTCTCTGAAATTCCCCCCTATTCCCCAACCATCCAATGGTTGACATCCTTAGATGTCACCATGACCTCCACCTCAGAAGTCTAATCGTTGTTTGAAGATTTGTCCCACCTGACTTATTCGTGGCATTTCACTTTCCTCTTTACTTGATTCCAAAGTCAAAACAGTTCTCCTGGTGTCTCTGACCTTCATTCTAAGAGCCCCTTGGGTCCTCTGCTCTTCTTGTTTAGATTTTCTGTTATAGTTTTTTTTTTGTTGTTGTTTCTTTCCTAAATTTATTTGGAAATCTAACACATCTCTGCTGGTTACTCCAATATGGAGGACCTCATCTCTGAACTCCAAGCCCTCAAATCAGACTTCCTAGCTGTGGGTAGATACCAAGGATTTCCAATTGAACGTTCCCCGGGCCTCTTCCACATTAAGTGAGGGGTTGGATGGGCTCTTATTAATGAGCTCTAACTGGTGGTCAGGTGAATGGCATTTCAGTTCTGACATTTTGGCTTCCATTTGCTGGGAACCTTAACCCAGTCATTTAATTCCTGAACTTCATTTTACTCATCAGTGAAATAGGAGAACTGAATTACATGATCATGATGCCTTTGTCCCCTTCCAACTCTGTAACATCTATGTCAGTTGTCCCAACTTTGGCACTATTAACATGTCATACCAGGTGACATTTGCTGTAAGTCTCTCTTGTGCATTTTAGGATGTTTAGCAGCATCCCTGGCTTCCACCCCCTAGATGACGGTAGCACCTTCACTCTCACGGAAACCAAAATGTCTGCCGGCGCTGCTGAATGCCCCCTGGGGAGCAAAACGGCCCCCAACCGAGCGCCTCTGAGCTCTATCCACTGCCGTTTTGCTTCAGTAATGGTTCCCTGTTTCTAACTTGTTTTTTGTTTTCTGTTAGAAGGATCACTCAATTCCACAGGCTCATCTCTTTAGAAGTATCTTTCATGCCTCCCTTCTTCGGTTTTAGTTGGTCATCAATCTCACCAACACAAACACGTCAAAGATGTCTCTCTCTTTTCCGAGCTCCACTTCACCATTTCATGATAGAGACAACATGGATTGCGTGCATTGCACTTTCTAAAATATCACAGGAACGTTAAGTGACTTTTGCCATGGCACATAATGGGCCATAACAGCAAGGTCAGCAGAGCTGAGGCAGGCCTCCTGGTTTCAGAGCTGTTCTAAGCCATCCCTTTAGTTTAGCTTTTTGTTTTTTAATCTCCACATGCCTACATACCTACAAGAGCCTCTCAGTTGATCCATTTTTTCCATCTTCCATGCTCTAATCTAGTCTATACATTACTACCAGGCTAATCTTCTTTAAAACTTTAAGACTCTTATCTGTTTATGAGTTACAGCAGCTCTCTATGGTCTTCTGGGTACAGATTAGAACCACCTGGAGGCTTTTAAAACCTACTGATGCGTGACCCCACCCCAGACCAATTGAATCAGTTTTTTAAAAGATCCCAGGTGATTCTAATATGTAGGGAGGCCTGAGAAACACCAGTCTACCAGACTGAATTCAGATTTCCCATTTTCTGTTTCAACATCCTCTGAAACTCACATCTTACCTTTAATAATTTATGTTCTCTTTTTCTCTAACCACAACGGAGATCCTCTATTCCAGACCTCTATTCTTCTTTTAGTCTCTGTACTTCCTTCATGCACTGCTTGTTTGTCCTGCCAAGATTGTACTACTCTCAGAAGGCAGTGTGCATAGTGGCTGCAGCAAGGACTTAGGAGCTAGAACTAGGTGATTCAGGTTCTTCCTAGCCTCTAACAAGCTGTGAGGCCTTGAATAAGTCTCCAAGGCTATTGTGAGTATGATTCATGATGTAATCAATAATGTCTAGCAGTATTATTTTTCAAAAATCAACCTATATTTCTTCAATGTCGGTATATATCTTAATAAGGTTTCTCAAAATATAATCTGTGAACTCTGATGCAACAGAATCACTTACTGCGCATGCAAAAATGCAGACTACTAGTATCTAAGAACCACAGAGTGTTAAGAGCCATGAGAAACATTTAAGCTCAGTTTCAGTCCTGTTGGTCAGATCATTCTTTGTTGTGTGGGAATATCCTGTGCGTTGTAGACTGTTTGGCAGCATCCCTGGCCCCTACTCACTAGATGATGTTAGCACTCCCATCCCCAAGTTGTGACAAACAAAAATATCCCCAGAGATTCTACAAATCCTCTGGGGACATTAATCTCCCCAGCCTACTCTGCCACTCCAGTGGAGACCACCTAGCTAGTCTAAACCAAGAAGTGTATTACATCAGACTGTGGCCTCCTTACATTAAATTTAGAATGGCTTTCAACAATTCTTTAGTAGTTACCTCAAAATTTTTCTTTATGCTGAAATTAGATATTTTCCTGAAAATGTATACTGTACCAGTCATACTATCTTTCTATTTGTTTCTGTATTGCCTTAAAAATCAATCTATAATTTTTACATTAGTGTCAATCTCCAAATTGATTGTAAACACACCTTCCAATTACCTTGTATCCCTTATAGAGCCTAGCAGAGTGAGCAGCTCAGGGCAGACATTTCTTGAATATAGCTAGCAATTGAGTAATTACTTGTGTGTGTGGAGCCAGAGAACACTCATGTATTTATATATCAGCTGTCCAAATATTTTTATCAGTTAGAGACCTTTTCCCCCCACAAATATTCTTTTCCAGGGAAAGAAAGTATCCTATTTCTGCCCATACCCTTCACTTTAGTTCAGGGACACTGCTTACAAGATAGAAAGCTGCTTCTCTAATTGGCTGGGTAAAGTCACCTGTAGAATTTTTATAAATAGTAGATATTCAGGCCCTGTTCCCAGATGCTTTCATTCAGTTGTGGACAGGGTCACAAGTCAGTCTGATGCGTTGTCAGAGTTCAGGAATACTATTTGAAGACGTGTGTATGTGTGTTTTGTTGGAATTTTCTGAATGTAAACATTACCCATATCCTGTGAAGTTCGTCTTATGCAACAGTGTGGAGGAGGATCTTTGCCTACATGATGAAGACACACCTACATGTATGAACATGTTTGTTTAAACAGGTAAAAATGATGTGACACTGCATCATCACTATGGTTCTGAAAACCAAATTTTGTTTAGAAAGTAGCACAGAACATTAAAAAAAATAAGAATAATCATAGGCATAGAAGCCCTTCCTAGCTTTTTACCTGACGGAATATTATTCCCTTCCCAGCAGCTGCTTTCCAACAAAACCTCCAAGTTTATAAAGCCTGTCACCTTCCATGGCTAATTCTCAATGATGGGATTGTAATTTACTCTGAGAAGCTTCCTGGTATTACTGCTAAGTCACTTGCATTCAATCAAAAGATTTGTGTTCTGATGGGTCCAAGAATTCCTAGAAGTAGTCGCCCCCCTCTGACCTTTCAGTTGGATTCTTTCATTCTGAATAGAAAATAATAGTAATAAATCTAGTAGCACTGAATTCCTTTAGCAATTATCCTTCTTTTATTCTGAGTCCAAGTCCCCCTACAGCAGTCCTTTCCTATTCAAAGAACCTCGGAGATAGGTAAGCTGGCTTTTCATAATTTTATTTCAATAGACCCTCTCTTACCTCTCCCAAAGACTGGCTGAATATTTAAGTTGTAATATTTGTGTAAACCACTCTTACCGTGGAGTATTCATCCAAAATAAGAACAGTCAAAAGAAAGATTTTTTTTTAAAAAGTCCTACACCAATGTCCCAAAATAAATTCAAACAAAGATGGAATACAATGCATGATACACTGAATCACAAAACCATCTCTAAATAGAATACTTTCCAACTACAATGAGGTATCACTTCACACCAGTCAGAATGGCCATCATCAAAAAGTCTACAAACAATAAGTGCTGGAGAGGGTGCAGAGAAAAGGGAATCCTCTTGCACTGTTGGTAGGGATGCAAACCGATATGGCCACTTTGGAAAACAATATGGTAATTCTTTGGGCTTCCCTGGTGGATCAGGCAGTAAAGAATATGCCTGCAACGTGGAAGACCTGGGTTCGATCCTTGGGTTGGTAAGAGTCCCCTGGAGGAGGGCATGATAACCCACTACAGTATTCTTGCCTGGGGAATTCCATGGACAGAGGAGCCTGGTGGGCTACGGTCTGTGGGGTTGCAAAGAGTCAGATACAACTGAGTGACTAAGCACAGCACATAGGGATTCTTTTAAAAACTAAGAGTAAAACTACTGTACTAACCAACAATCCCACCACTGGGCATATACCCTGAGGAAACCATAATTGAAAAAGGCTCATGTACCCCAGTGTTCATTGCAGCAATACTTACAAGAGCTAGGACATGGGAGCAACCTAGATGCCCGTCAACACATGAATAGATAAAGAAGATGTGGTACATATATACAATAGAGTGTTACTTAATTGTAAAACGGAAAACATTTGAGTCAGTTCGAATGAGGCGGATGAACCTAGAGCCTATTATACAGAGTGAAGTAATTCAAAAGAGAAAAACAGTTATCATATATTAATGCACATTAATCTAGAAATTCTAGATTTCTAGAATCTAGAAAGACACTACTGATGATCCCATTTGCAGTGCAGCAAAGAAGACATAGACATAAAGAACAAATTTTG